AAAAAAAAAAAAAAAAAAAAACGAAAAAACAATGCAATTTCAAACCTTTAAATTTAAAAAAGTTCGCGCAACTTTTGAAAATCGAACCTTTTAGGTTTTCTCCGAATTCTTTAAATTTCCTTCAAACTCTGAGTTTAAAAGATCGTGCAACTTTGACAATCGAACTTTACAAATTTTTCGATTCTTTGAACTCTCGAGAGGTTTTCATTCGTTCGCGCTCGTCCATCTTCGAAGAACAATCAATTCAATCATGTCGGGACGCGTTCTTCGGGCGGTCTCTTAACCAAATTACTCTTATACGTTAACACAGTGCCGGGAGACGGAAAAACGCGCGCAAGAAGCGGAGGGATGGCAGTGAAACGAGTGAAAAGTCGCGAGACGAGTTTGCAGCCAGCTGGAAAAAGCTAGCCCCTTCGGGATTACCCTGTTTCGGATCGTAAATCATTCCTGAAGGACGCGAGGCGGAAGACTTTCGCGGTGATTTCTGAGTGGAGCATTCAGGGCTCGAGTAGAAAAAAATTGCGTAGAAATTTGTCGGTGGCTTAATTTATTAAACGCGAGCAATCTTCGAGTGTTAAAATCCCGAGAATAATGTTAAAATACAAATTGACGAAATGTTAATCATTCTTTTGTCCTTCCCGCACCAACGAATTCTTTAAGAGACACTGTTAATGCTGGAGTTACTAAAAAATGGTAAAAATGGCCAAGTTGTGATTTCTTTTTAGTGCATTTTCTTGAATTTCAAATGATTTTTCGTAATAAAGCTTAAGTATTCTATAGCACAGCTTGACGGAATATTTTCAAATTATTACAAACTATTTCATCTGATTGAATAATCGACACTGTGATCGATGAAATACACACTCGGCTTAAACCACAACAATCAAGCGACAACAATAAATTCTGTCCAATTCTGACCAACGGATTCCAAAATTTTCCCTCTCTCAGCCGGTCGGTATACGTTCGATTGAATTTCAGCCGAAAGAAATGCAAAACAAGGCGGATGTCAAAGATCAACGTCACGCATCGTTGATCATAGTCGTGTTCAATGTCAATCGATACTCTGGCTCCTGCAATATTGGTTCAAGCACATCATTAACGTGCTCTCGGACAATAAGCTCGAATCTCGTAGCTGATGCACCGAATGCGTGTTTCAGGCGTATTAGCTGTATTCTATAGGATCGAGTATCGATGTTGCGTATGTACGTTTGGACGCGATGGACGCCTCGTGGTGTTGATTGCTACATTCTCAGGCTCCGTAGGATTGCGTTTGCGATTTAGATTTGGCATTCTGACTATTGCTGGAATTGGCATATCCTTTTACAGGCATTGATCAAACGTCGATTTTCCGTACACGTGTAGGAATTGCTTTGGTATAAGGTAGCGTAAACAGAGTTTTGTAGAACAACGGTATAAGTGAATCAAGTATTGTCGATGGAATTTCGGAAACCAGTGGAAATAAATGATATAAATGTAAATCGATAAATGTAAAATCTTTGTAAATGATTGGTGTAAAGTGGTACAAACAGAATTTTCGACACTAGTGTAACTAAATAATGTAAAGTGATACAAATGATATTTTAT